TAAAGAAAATGTGGCTTAAACAGACTAAACAAAATCCAGAAGCCCTTTAGACCTTGTTTTACTAATTGTTTTTAAAGATACGAATGTATAACTTTAAAATATCAGGGAGAGAAAGAATGAAAGAATACTGATAACGCTTCCTTTGATAGGATTTTCCTCTCATGTATTTAGATAAGTGGGTTCCTTTTCTTTAGCATGAAACAGGCTAGGTAATATTCCTAGCCTGCAAGTTAGCATGTTTGCCCTCAGGTTTTATATACCCTTAACACAGTGTTTCATTAAAAACATTTAAAAAAACAGAACTGTTTCCTAGCAAATCAACCATTCCACACAGTTGTATAGAACGTGAGGAGCTATCTCAAAGTAATATCCCACATGCTTTATGATCCTGATGTGAAGCTCCAGTACTCTTGACCAATGAACACTACAGTTTTGAGGCTTACTTAAATATGGACATACATAGAATTACTAGCAGATTAGGAAAGTTCATGATTAAATGCATTGGTATTCACTGAATAGTTTTTGTGGCATTTAACAAATACTTTATGAATACCAATGAACTTTAGATACAAGTTTCTGTGAATAGGCTTATTTAGATTCAGTGTCTTCCTTTCCTAACTCATTCTGCTTCATTTCTGGAATATCTAAAAGTAGCTGATGCTGTGAAGGAAAGTATTTTGAGTAATTTTAGACAAATAAAATAGAGATCCTGGAAGTGACATACATTTTTTGTCTTTAGATAACTTATTTTAGTTGGTTCCATCTGCTTGGGTTGTTGCTGACTGATTTCTAGCTTTTCTGGCTGTCTTTAAGGCAAACAGAAAACAGGATCCATCTAAGACTGTTGCCCAGACATCATAATTCTACCTCCATTTGGTGTCTGATCCTATTAAGAAAATGGATATTAGTTTGGTGGTACAGAGGGCCAATACCTGCTATTAATTGTATCCACCTTGGCAGGATATTGCTGTAGAGGAAGCCAGCTTTGGAATATTTTTAGTTCTTTATTTAGGACCATGTGCCCAGGATCTGACACTTCTTATGAGAGGACTTCACAGGATAGATACTAGATCATAAAATCTATAGAATAAAGACCTTGAACTATGTTTTAAAGTCAAAGAGCAGTAGAAAATTCAGAATGCTGTGCTGGAATGCCAAGACCCCCAAGTGCAAATTGCAGTTTCCCTTATATATATTTTTGGTTTTTTTCATTTTTTTCAAATAGAGACTCTGAATTCCTGTATCTTCTGAGAATGCAGTTTCCCCCTGAAAACATTGAGAGACAAATTACCAGTTGTTTGGCATGCCTATATTGCTGAATACAAGCTTTCTTCCCTGCAGTCCCATTCCAAATAAAGCAGTTCCATAGCATTCTGCTTGCAATCTCTCTCTTTGGGAGAAAGGGAGCCCTTTTGGCCAGGAAACTGTTATCAAACTGTGTATTTGTTATATTTTATATCATACTGTTAGATTAACTTTTTAATTTAAGTTCCAAATAACTGGCAACTTAAATAGCATGTACAGGTCCTTGTTCCTGATATGAAATCCATTGTAGGCAATGGCTGTGTCAGAACATTCAATAATATCTAAACAGAAAATGTCCTCCTTTAACAAAATTAATTGATTTTTACTCTTTATTTATTTTATTTTGTTTAAGTGTCAGTGGGCATGTCTGCATGTTCTTTAATGCACCGTAGTTACGGCACATTAAGTTTAGTACTTGGATAACCAAGTACTAAATCAATGTGCGGTGACTCACGCTACTGCACAGTAGCGCTGATGCTGGGGTTTTTAGTGACACTGTGCAGTAGTCTAATACTACTGTGTAGTAGTGTGTTAGCACAGTTTTTGCCTAGCACTCAACTACACAGTGCTATTAGCATCTCATGTAGCCCACTGTGCTCCAAACTATATCCAAAAACAAAAAGATGAAGTGGCCATCCTAAACCTTCCAAAACTTCCCTAGTTTTTAAGGTTGCAGTTTCTCTCTGCCATTTGTCATGAATTTGAAAAACTGGTCCAAGATGAGTGCCAGGCTGCATCTGTGGAGAGGGCACAACACAATGCCACTACATGCCGCATGGCCGCAGCTATACTACTTCAGGCTTCAAAAGGTAGCCACAGGTTATTTCCTGAACTGGAAACAGCATAGCTTTATGAATGTGAGGCTGAACCTAGACTAGGCAGTTCTGCCTCAGAAGAACTGTACAGTGTTGTGTGGACACAGTTATACTGTTTCTGGCTTGGGAGGTAGCTATCACTAACTGGAAACAGTAGTGATATAAATGGACCTCTAGTTTTGAAGGTCTGTGGAGTGTCTGGGACTGTGTCGTGAAGCTTACCCCTGGATGACTGGCCATTTACCCCAAAGAGCTTATGTTATAAAACTAAACATGTTAGGTTACAACTGTTTCAATTTAAGAATGTACAGTTGTACTTTTGAATACTAACTTTCCCTCTGTGTTTACTACAGAAAACTAAGGAAGAGAAACACATGAGGAAGGCTTCTGTTTTTTAATTTAAATCATTGTTGGATATAGAAATAGACTGTGCCAAATAGGGTAGGGCCTGACAATTTCTCAGACAAAAGGAGCATTGATACTCAGTCTGAAATACCAGGGGAAGAAATCACGCATCTTTGGGTACACTCTGACACCAGACCCATGAGTACTCTTTCTATTTGACAGTTTTAACATCCTTTTTCAGAAAACTAAACTTCATTATTTACACTCCTGCTTTAAAATCATATTGCAAGTATTAATATCCCAAAAGCCCCATTGCAAATATTAATATTCCAAAATATTTGATACATAGATTGAATGGAATCTTTGTGGCATGGTGTAAAACCAACTTAAAATTATATTAAACAGGATTACTAATACCGTGTGTTATTAAAAAGAAATTTTTCACCCTTTGTTTGCTCATTGAAATTCAGGCTGTAGTGCTGAGTGAATCTGGATTGTTTTAGGTGACTTAAGTGCCTAAGAGGAGTTTAAGCGCCACTCAGATGTCTTAGAGGCAAAGTAGGATGGGGTCCAATATGATTTTCATTGCAAAAAGTTGTACAAAAACTTTAAATGTTTAATGTACTAACATGGAGAGACTGCATCACTCTGGCAATTTGATAACAGCTCAATATGTTCCTTAAACCATTGCTTTGGCCCCAAACTCTTTCAGTTACAGGAGTTGAAAAGACTGGGGATGCTTTGGCCCAGCCCTGCAGAACTGGGAGTAATTCTTTTATATTTATGAAGCAATTTACCAGTGAACTACTAGATGATCTTTGGAAAATAATTTTTGTCATAGTTCTCCCATTTTACAGATTCTTATGATAATGACTGCCTTCAAAAACTGCTTGAGATCTGTAAATGAAAAGTGCAATATGAGAGCTAGGCAGGGGTAGCCTGGGAGGGGGTATGGTTGGGAAGGGCTATAGCCACCCCAAAATTCACCTTGGCCCCCCTGCCCCATAGTCCCCCCCTTGTAGTGCCACCATTGCTGCCCACTGGCACCACCCCTGGAGCTAGGTAATATTATAGTTAGTTTTGTAGTAATTCTATCCATGTGAAACACCAAAAACAGCACCTATTATTTGACACGTTTTAAAGTCCAGTGCTTACATTAAGTCAAAAGTCCAGCTAGTGCCTGGATGTATATAATGTGCATCATTGACTGCATCTATTTGTGTCCTGTGGGACATCTGGAATTATACTGAATCTCAAGCTTTAAATTAAATAAGCTATACCCAGTTTCAGGGTTAAAACTGAACGTTTTATACATGAACCAAAAATGCACCAAGGCAGTGCTGTTCTTCCTGAGTGTGCAGACAGCCTAGAACAAAAGCTGTGAATGCCTTACTGCCCTCTACTAATCTAATTCACTTAAATTGCTGGTGGTGATGCTTTAAACTTAAGAAGTAACTATTTTATTGCTGATTATTAGTATTGCAGATAGGACAGTGAATGAGGTTGTAATGATTGCCCCCAGGCAAAAAAAGAACAAATTTGAGATTTTCTTAAATCACAAAGACAAAGAAGGGAAAGA